GACATGTAACATGCTCGTCATCATTATTAGCTGATGCCCGCCAACCCCCAATAGTATAATATATATTCTGAAATATATTATCTCAAATTACAATATTGCCTAATAACATGTAACATGCTCGTCATCATTATTAGCTGCTGCCCGCCAACCCCCAATAATATAATATATATTATGAAATATATTATCTCAAATTACAATATTGCCTAATAAATTTTATTTTAAATTTATACCGCCGAAATTTTCCTATTATAAAAAATAATATCTTTATTTTAATTTTTTTAAGAAAAATACAATTTTTAATGCAAAAATAAGGAGAATATAAATAACAATAAAAAGTGGTCTGCAAATACGTAAGAATTGAGTGGTATGTATGTAAATCATCCATTATTTATTTTTTACATTCATAAATTAATTTAATCAGAATTGAAAAGCACCGCAAATCCCTTTTTTATATATAAATTCATTTAATTAAAAAATTGATTTATTTGGTAGGAGAAGAAATTAAAATAATAAATAGTCAAAAAAATAAAGTGTACGGAAAATCGCCGTCAAGTCTCCTGAGTCTCTCGAAGAATAAAATAAAAGGTATTTTTCCTAAATTAAAAAATAATAAATAAATAAATAAATAAATAAATAAAGAGTCAGGATGAAGTTTGACCAACGCGTGCACTGGCGAAAGCTGGCCTGCAGAACAAGCCAATTTACCTGCCAACATCCGTTATTTATAAACAAAATATTTTTTTAAATTTATTATTTAATGTCGAAAAAAATATACTAATTTAGGCTGAGAAAAAAGTTTACTACAATAAAGAAAGACCATGCTTTAATTCTAAAGTATTTTGTATAAAGTGATGATATTTAATGTTAATACAAATTTAAATTTAAGTATGTTATAAAATGATAATTAATAATTAAATTAAAATATAATTAAGTAATACGATAAAAAATTTAGTGACATAAATATTTTATCGGAGTTAATTTGAATAACGTAATAATACTTGATTTAGGTGAGTATTTGTATTTTAAATTATATTAGTAATTTGTTTTATTTTATATGTAATACATTGTTAATTGTTTCGAATGACTTTACCTTCTCTTTACATTCATTTGATCATAATGAAATGCAGGTTACTGATTCTTAGATATGCTCGGTCAGTTACATAATTAAAGTTATTATATTATATGTTCAATGTTATGAAAATAAAATAAAAATTAGTTTTACTAATTTTGATTGCATGTATGACAATGATGGAGTCACTCCGACACTAGTGGAGAAATGCTAAAGTGTATGTGCACGTAATGGGAAAAGATATTAATATTGAAATATTTCAACTAATACATTTTTTAAAACAATATTTCTGTGACAGTTGTATATATATAAATGATATTGATATATTATTAATACAATAAAACACCTTAAATATTATGAAGTATATGAGCAATCATATTCATAAGCTAGAAAATGATTATTATTGATTTATTAAGGGCTTAACTGACATGCACATTGTTTTCTCTTTTATCGTGCTATTAAGTTTAGAATTACGAGTATTCATTGGCTATGGTTAACTCTCTATTATTTTAAACTATTATTTTATATTTAATTAAGTGATTTAAAAAGATAAACGATGTAAGAGATAATGTTTATAGAAGACGTAAACAACTTGTAATGAGGTAAATTTAATTATTTTTAATTAAATTTATTCAATGGTTCTTTCATTTAATTAAATATTTGTTATAAAAAATGAATTTAAAGATTTTTATTTCACATCATCATACCGTCTTCACCTGTCTTAGTTAATTCCAAGTTCAAGGTCAGGTCATGAAAAAACCGGTATAGAGAAATATTTAAGATTAATTAATGTAATATTGACGAAAGCGCTAATAAGATAATTATAAGAAAATTTTAATATAATAAAATAAAAAATTTTACTTAAGTCAAATTAATAATTATATCCATTCAGGTAAATAGATACACCATAAATTATAGAAGCGGGGAGTCTGATAGAAAATAATGAAGTGCAACTACTATAAATATGAACATGAATGTCTTGACCCATATGATTACATGACTCAACTGATTCAGGACTCTGTAACATAGTCTATTTGAAGGGATATAGTTATTGTGGATAAGTAATTAAAGATATTTTAAGATCTATGTCCATAATAATTTAAGGGAACTAAAGATTCAATTAAAGAAAATAATTGATTGATGTGAAATGAGAAGATATTAGATATTTAGACTTGTCCGAACAAAATATAAGTGTTATTAACTACATTTGTGATGGAGAGAGAAGCTTTAAGGTTGTGGCACTAGCAGCATTTGGATAGATTAGAGGACATAGTCAACATGATAGTAAGTTGAGAGAAGTTCGTAGAGAATGATTTGTACCCCTATTTGCTCGAAAAAATAGGACAAATTTATCAGATTGGTATAAGGAGAGAAAAAAAGTCATACAGTACAAAATAGATTTCACAGCACTGTCAGGATATGTGTCATTGTTGCTTGTTATTGCATAAGAAAAGTATTATAGATTTCTTTCAAGATTCGATCAGATAGTCGTTAATGCCTTTGAGGATCGATGAATACTCAATATTAGTGAAACGAGTTAAAAAAGTGGAGATTGATTATCAACTTACTCGAAAGCGTGAGAAGATACACAAGAGGAAGAACATTGATGAATGGGAACATGCAGATTAATCAGAATGATCCAATTAGAAGAATTGTGTTCAACTCAAATAAATTTAATAGAGGTACGACCAAAGTATTGTAGTTACTCATTCAAAATGCAGAAGACAACATAAGGGTGAATGTTTGATGGGTTCTAACACATGCGACTGATGTTGTCGGCTGATCATATAACAAGATATTGCCCAAAGTTTGGCCAGAAGAGCATTAAAGATCAGAAATCAGATGGAGCTCATTCACAGAAGACTGCATGTGAGCAGAGAAGAATAGAGTATTGCTTTAGCTCTTACCCTAGTTCAACTAAGATAACATGCCAACATATAGTTTAATCCCTTACTCATAATGAGCCTGAAAACCTACTGTTATTGATGGTGATAGGGTCTTATGAGTTTGACGTTTACTTACATATAAGTGTGTTTTACAAGCTTGTTTTCTTACTTCAGCAACTAAGTGTTATTTAGATATGTTATTATCCTGATTTTGTTTTTGAGAGAAGGATAGTTGAGTTGCATTGTATCAGGTCTCTACTTAACAATAATTTTGTTTCATCTCAATGAATGATCTATAATTTTTATCATGAAACTTATAAATAGTTCAAGTTAAAATGCTTAATGAGAGATGGCTTGAGGTATCTTTATAAATTTTGAGGAATAAATTTTTGTATGTGGGGAAGATTGTGATGCCTCGTTTCATATCCTCAAGAGAGCAGAAGAGAGGGAGAGGAAATGACTAGTCGAGAACACAAAAGGGTACCTTTGTTCTATAAACAAACACAAGATGAAGGAAGACAAGCTAAGGCATGAAACTGGCACACACAAGCTAAGGCTTGCCCATAGCTAAAGAAGAGAATGTTGGTTGACAACGACGTAGTTGGATGAAACCTTCAAAAAGATCAATGTCGAAAACAATAAGGGTGACAGAGTGGCAGGCTGGGAGGCTTGCACGTTGCAGAGAACAAATCAGATTGCGTGTCGAGGAGAAGTTTCTCTGGGTGCACAAGGGCTTCTACAAAGACCTAGTAGAGGAGGCACCACTCACATCTATGCGGGTCGATTTAAGCTTTAATCGCCATGCCCACAATTGAAGGCAAAGGAGGATGAAAGAGGAGGTGGCATTGAGTACATACAATGCTGGTTTTAGATAATTAAGATCCAGTTGTTTGTTCTAAAGAAATCCAATTCCAATATAAAATAATATTATATTTGAAATTTAACTCTTACTTCTCCTTTTCTCTGAATGTGCAATTCCGGTCAAATTTAAAAGACACCCTTTAGTGTAAAAGTGCCGCTGGTGCTGAACTTATTCGATCAAATTTAGAAGACACCCTTTAGTGTAAAAGTGCCGCTGGTGCTGCGCCATCTGCGCCCAATGTGTGTCGCTTGCCTGCTGCAGTCGCGTACCACTGCTGTTGATGTCCGCCGGCCATTTCAAACACATTACATTGAAATATATTATTTTCATTTTACTTCAAACTAAAAAAAAAAACAATAAATTCATTTATTTAATTTACACCAAATCAAAGTATCAAACAAC